ACAGGCAAATGGATGGAACTAGAAGAAATCATCCTGAGTGAGGTAACACAGTCACAAAAAGACAAACATGGTATGTACTCACTCACATATGAATTTTAAACATAGAGCAAAGGATCACCAGCCTACAATCCTCTTCACCAAAGAAACTAGGAAACAAGAAGGACACTAAGGGAAAAATGCTTGGACCCCCAAGAATGGGAAGGGGCAGGATCTCCTGAGCATAATTGGTAGCATGAGGGTAGGGGAGAGGGAGCTTCCAGAATGAGAGGAGAAGAAGAGAGGATAGGAGGAAATGGAGTAGCAGAAATGTTGAGTTGGGGGAAGAATACAGGAGAGCAGGATGAGAGATACCATCTCAGAGGGAGCCATTATAGGTCTGAGGAGAGATCTGGCACTAGGGAGATTTCCAGAAATCTATAAGGATGACATGAACTGACAATCTAGGCAATGGTGGAGAGGATAGCCTAAATGCCCTTCCCCTATGATGAGACTGATGACTACTTTTTATGCCAGTGTAGAGCCCTCATCCATTGGCTGATGGAAGCAAAGGCAGACACCCACAGATATACTCTGAACTGAACTCTGGAACCTAGTTGCAGAGAGGGAGGAAAGATCAAAGGGGTTGGTATCAGGCTGGTTAAATCCACAGAAACAGCTGGCCTGAACAAGGGGGAGCACATGGACCCCAGACTGCTGTCTGGGAGGCCAGCACGGGACTGATCCCGACCCCTGAACATGGATGTCAATGAGGAGGCCTCTGTACTCTAATGGGCCCCTGGCAGTGGATTAGTATTTTTCCCTGGTGTAAGAAGGGACTTTGAAAGCCCATCCCATGTCTAGGCCTGGAAACATGGGGGAGGGCCTAGGCCCGTCCCAGGATGATGTGGTAGACTTTGGGGAGCCCCCATCGAGGGCCCTACCCAGCCTGGGGAGTGGAGGGTGGATGGGGTGGCGGGCAGGTGGGGAGGGTTGAGGGGAGAGGAGGGAGAGAGAGGAGGGATTGACATGTGAAGCAAGCTTGTTCCTAATTTGAACTAATAAAAAAATCCCCCCCCAAAAGAAAGTGAGAGTCACTTCTGGGAGAAGACATTCTACCGGAGAACACAAGCAAGAGTAGATGGATCCCAGTGCACAGGATTTTAGGAACCAGCCATCCTAGTCTATGATGGAGACTCCTTTGCTCCATGGAAGAAATATTTCCCAGGACACTGAGGTTCGCCTACAAAATTTCCTCTTCAGGGTTCTCATTATTGTATTGTTCTGCACACTTACCTCACTTCTTGAAGATAGCAGGTGACATATTTATGTCCACAAGGAGCGCCTTCCCCAAATGGCTGAGGTTCAATTTCCCACCTCAGGGGTGGTTTCAACTCAGGTTGAAAAAATCCTTATCCATGGAGCCTTTCTTTTCTCCTTCTTTCCATTTTTCACTTTAAACCATAAAAACCTCCTTGGAGAACAGCATGGGAATCTGTCCGCGCCCCATGTCTACAGCCTCGAAGTCATTATCCACTATCTCTGGTCCAAAACCAATTGTGTGAATGAATTTACTTCCACATTTTTAATTGCTATGGAAGCTGAGAATTCAGAGGCTGCCAACACATCTTTGTTGGTCACATCTTTTGGAAGTGCAGTTAGTCTTTTAGCAGACTTGGGGAGTGAGTGGTAAGAAGCCCTAAGACTCAAGTGGAAGTAGCCTGAGACAGTCCCCGATAATATAGTGAATGCTGGGCCTGTGAGAGCAGGTGGCCTGCAATACAAACAATGCACTACCTGTGTGATGGGAGTCACCCTGTGCCCCAATTTAGTTATCTATAAAATGTGAGTGACAATACCTCCCTTAAAAAGAACATATTGGGAAGTGAGTGAGAAGGGGTTGACATCCTGGAAAGCAGTAGAAAAGTTGATTCGTTACAGTCCCTCCTCTCTGTCTAGCATCCCCTTGGACTATCAAAAGTTCCTCAGACAATTGACAAACACTTCCAGAGACACATGTATATCTCTACCCACTGTGTATTGAACAAATAACGCTGGAGTTCTGCTAAGACTGACTTTTGTCAGCTGACAACAAAGGAAACAGCAACTGGGGAAGCCAAAAGCCTCTGGCCCTGTGCAGCTCCTGTCTGAAGCAGTATGCTGAGGTTGGAGCCAAATTTGCCCCAAACAGTTCTCACACACCAGAGAACCGTTAAATTAAAAGGCAGTGGTGCTTCTGGGAGAAGCAGACTGGAGGCTCGTGGCGCTTGGCATGAACAGTTCTTCCTGGCAGGCCCAGCCCCTGACCTAGCTAAGAAGCCCATTCAGCACAGAAAGCCCACATTGCGTGCAAAGCCACGTGGTGCTTTCCTTGCAGGCGCCCTGGGACCGACTCTTGCTGCTCATTAGTGGTAAATGGTAGCTTCGTGTGGAAATCCCAGCACATTGCAAACAGAATGCAACCCTAAGGAATCATAAATCACCTGCATTGATTCAGAACTGACTGAGATGCAGCTAGAGAGTTGTTTGTTCAGAATTTAATTTGATTCACCAGCCATTGAACAGGCCTTTATTCGGTGTTAAACTGCTACATTTCCAGCTATGGAAGCTGACTCAGGTGTTCCTGGACACTTCTCTCTCTCTCTCTCTCTCTCTCTCTCTCTCTCTCTCTCTCTCCCCTAGATCTGTAGGCAAGGAGAGTGAATGCTTTTCACTCAGTCCCTGCTGCTTGCGATGAAGGCATTCAAACAAAAAGTGGGATGTGCTGACCCAGTAACATGGTAGAGTGTGGTGCTAGCTGTAATTGACAAAGCCACACAGCTGGACACAGCTGAGGGAAAGTTAAACTTGACATCTTCTAGTGATGACCTTCCTATTACCTTATAAAGAACAAGGCCCAACGACAAATACAGACTGGTGTGTTAATTATAGAGTACAGTTCCTCCCAGTGGGCACACAGTATAATAATAATAATAATAATAATAATAATAATAATAATAATAATTGATAATAATAATGATAAAATATATTTTCAGCCATCAATTTATCAGCCACCTAAAACTCTGACTTCAGAATGTCTGCCCTTCTGCCTCACCCATGCCTCTTTTCATGTTAGCTACTCTGAACCATCAACAGCCTGAGCCTGGGATGTTCCACCTTCCTACCCTTTGCCTTGCCCTCAAACATTTCCCAGCTCCCACTTAAGAGTATCCTTGCCCTGCTTCTCCATTCTCTGGTTCTGCAGTCAAAGGCGAACTTCTGGCTGCTTTCTGGCCTCCTGGTTCAGCTTGAGCTCTGAGGTCAGCCACATTCAAGCATCTTCATTAACTGTCTATGCTTTTCCGCTCCATTTCCAAGTTAATTTTTGAGCCACGGCTGGGGCTTAGGAGCTCAGTGATGGAGCATTTGTATGTGGAAGGCTGGATTCCATCCCCAGCATCTCAAACAAATAAAACTCCCATTCTCTTGTGAGTCTGTTCTGAAAGGGTTGGAGAGAAGCCCTGACTTAAATATTGTCAATCATAACCATGGCCATTTAGTCGCTCTCTCGGGTTCCTCTCCAAAGCCATGGTCTTAATGTGCTTCCTGGTTATCTCAGCCTGGTACGACTTATTTCACCTATAGATTCCTATAGCTACTTCCTCCTTTTCATTGACCATGCAGCATAATTTACCGGAAAGATAACACTCTCAAAGCAACAATTCTTTTATCTCAAGACAACCTTTTTGCCTTCTTTATGTGTCATTTTGTTGAATTAATTTGGAATGAGTAATCAAACTTTCATTTGGTAATTCTGCTAAGTGCACCTTTGTGCATTAAGTATTCATAAACCAATACATTGTATTTATAAGAAATCATTCTAAAATTCTCTCTGGCATTATGGCCAAATCATGCAGTTTATATAAATGATGAAGAGGCTAAACTCGAGGAATACTCTAACAAGAAAAGGAGTAGTAATCCTTCAGCAACGTTGAGAAGTCAAAGAGAATGGAGAAAGAAAATCAAAAGTGTGAGAATTTACGTGTACCCAGGATGCAGTCAGTTTGGGGGCTAGTCAAGAACAAGCTAGAAAAAGTAGGTGAATTGAAAAGGAGAGAAGAGGAGAAAACGCCTGTCTTCTAGGGTTGCACCAGAAACTCCAATCTCCATCAGATGACATAACCCCAAGGCAGTCACTTAACCCAGGTGTAGCAGTGCTGACCTCACAGATCTACAGAGAAGGAGAGAGCCTGAAGTGACAAGCAAGCTTCCCTTGTTCTCTGTATACAGAAGGGATCTCTGTGTATAGAGGAGATCTACAAATTCTCTCATGTTTCAGGAGGTGGCTAAACGGAGAGTCACAGATAAAGCCCCACTGCAAAGAGAGAAGCAAGCTAAAGAGAAGGCTCTGTGTTCACATCCAGAGACAGGGGTGAGATGGAGTAGGAGAAAAGACCCAAAGGGGAGGAGGGAGCCAGTGATAGACAGATAGGCTCTAACCAACCAAAGAACAGCAACAGCTCCAGTGCCCAGATACATAAGAAGCACCCCAAGTTCTCCATGTTTCCCTCTAAATGGAACTATCCCTTCTTACTCATGTGAAGCCACTGGGATGTCATTACTCAA